TATAAAGTATTGTTTTTTCCTTGCATTGATGTCTGTTGCATCGTGTTGATATTCGTTAAACACACGTTGCGTTACGCTGAAAAAAGTAGAGGCGGCTCTACTTTTTTTTTTTTTTTCATTGGAGGGCAGCGAACATCAACACAATACACTGGTGTGAACTGCTCCCATTCACACCCATTCGTTTTCAGATGCATTGGCATCTGGTGTGAATGGTGCCTTAAAGCTGAACTCCGGAATGGATAATGGGGGGAGGGGGGAGACGCAGAAACCCCATTTTTTTTTCTTTTCACATAAAACAGGAAGAGCAATATAGATATATAAAAACACTGATTTTGTAGAAATAGCACTTAGAAATATAAGAAGATGAGAATAGCACTAAATGACACGGTAAAGATAACATATGCATCACAGATAGGCATTCGTACAGGGATTTGGAACAGGTCAGAACACGGGAAGATTCACATATATTAAACACTTAGGGGGAGATGAGGGGTTAGCTTCCCACTTCGCTTCCTGGCCCTAGAGTTGGTGGCAGGGGTTCATGATGGGAAAAGGGGCGGATGCATGAGGGGGGGGAAACGGATGGGATTGTATGTAAATTATGGAGAATGTTATTTTGTATGACAATGTTGTTCAAAATTGATGTTAAAACTTGAATAAAGAATTAATAGACAAAATAAAGCTGAACTCCGGTTAAATTGTTAAATACACAGATGAAATACAAATAAGATGGCTCATGAATACAAAACTTGCAGTGCTTCTTTGTCAGTGTACTCTCCACCCAGGTGTACACGAAAAGCAGTGTCCTCCACTTCAAATGAAATATTGATTTACCAGACATTTAGACCTCAAGGCATTCCTGTGAAGAGATCATCTGTGTCCCCAGCAGTTAATCACAGCAGCATAATCAGGGATGGTACTGTCACTTGGAAAACCATGATCGCATGCAAAATGCATAACCACCAATTTCTTTTAAAATGGTACCAAATACTGTGAATCTCAGTGTATGTAGTGATAGGTGACCTGAGCAAAGGTCAGTTCGCTGAGCAATTGAAAAAATTGTCAAAGGCCGAACCGATCACCTAAACCTAATTAAGGTCTATGGGTGCCAAATGATGTTATTTTTTTTTTATCCATCTTCATAGACAATTTACAAACATTTGGGAAAAAGGAGCATGGATAGCTGGGCATGGCCCTACAGAACATGCAGTTTTTTATTCAAATAATATTCAGTGGGGATCAGGTTTTTTAAATAATGCTTAAAGAGCAACAATCAAAATACACAATTCTTTTAAATAACATGCTTGGAGGATATCTTAAACCTACAAAAGAAGTGGAAAACCTGTGGCATTAAATAACATTTCCTGGCTGCATTGTTTTGTATGTAAAAGGGAAACAAAAACACTGCATGGGGTACACCTAAAACTAGGGATGCACCGATACTAGTATTTCAAATTCCAAATGGAAGTGGCTTCCTTAGGTCCTATGCTTGCTGGGGACACCTGCAGCCTTCTTGGGAACCACGGCACCTGTTTAAAGCGCTTTCACTGCTTGCACATCCCCACCTCCAAGCACCCACCCAGGATACCTCCTGAGACCCCCATACCCCTCCTGAGACCCTTCACAGCCCTCTTGAGACTCTCTGCACTGCTCCGCCCGAGTCACCAGGCTGGCACCCAAGAGAAGCACATGTAGCAACATATTATTCTGCTTTTCTGTATAATGTATTGCTGGGATTTGTAGCTGATGGTATTGTAATATTTGTATTTATTTACAGTGGGTATAGAAAAGAATCACCCCCGTTTAAAATAATCACATTTTGTTGCTTTGCAGTCTGAAATGAAGGCACACAATTTTTGTTTTATCCAGCTGTATTTACTCAGTGCAACTTATAACATTGAAGTGAAAGATATAACACCTACATGTCAGGATTTTTTTTTTTTATAGGATCACCCCCCTGTGTCAGTATTTTGATGGACCACCTTTTGCTTTAATTACAGCCTTTAGTTTGTTGGGATATGTCTCTACTAACTTTGCACATCTAGACTTTGCAATATTTGCCCACTCATCTTTGCAGAACTGCTCAAGTTCAGTTACATTTGATGGTGACTGTTTGTGGACTGCAGTCTTCAAGTCATTCCACAGATTTTTAATGGGTTTAAGTCTGGGATCTGATTAGGCCATGCGAGGACATTCACCGTTTTCTCCTTCAACCACTGTGTGGTCATTTTTGCTGTGTGCTTTGGGTCAATGTCATGTTGGAAGGTAAACCTTCTTCCCATTGACAACTTTCTGGCAGAGGGCAGCAAATTTTCCTCAAGAATTTGACAGAATTTTGCCACATTCGTTTTTCCTTCTATCCTGATAAGTGCTCCAATCCCTGCTGCAGAGAAACATCCCCATAACAGGATATGACCACCTCCACGCTTTACTGTACTGTAGGAATGGTGTTATTTGGATGGTGAGCTGTATTAGATTTCCACCAGATATATCATTTGGTGTTGAGGTCAAACAATTAAATGTTAGTCTCATCTGATCATAACACCTTTTTCCATGTGGCCTCGGAATCTTCAAGCTGCCTTTTGGCAAAACTCTGCTGTGACTGCTTGTGGCCTTTCTTGAGGAGTGGCTGTTTTCTTGCAACCCTCCCATACAAGCCACATTTGACCACATTTGTGGAGAGTTTGTGATATTGTCACATGCACACAATGACCACTCTTTGTCATAAATTCCTGCAACAGCTTCAGAGTTTCTGTAGGCCTCTTGGTAGCCTCTCTGACCAGTTGCCTCCTGGCTCTTATATCCACTTTGGAGTGAAATTCTCATCCAGGGAGGATCTGTGTTGTATCAAATACCTTCCATTTGTTAGGTCTAAGCCTTTGAATTTTTTTTGTGTACATCGCCTTGTGCCTGTCCACAACTTTATCTCAGAGATTTTTGACATTGCCTTGCCTACCATAGTTGGTTGATTGCTTCAGTTGCACTACCAGGTACTGAAATGCTCCAGGAAAGATCTTTTAATGCTGAGCTAATCAGTAATAAGTGGAAAGTCAAATGTCTTTGTGTGCCATTGAAAAGGTGATTAGCTACACCTGACCAGAGAAAATCTGCAGATAATTGTAAGGTGTATGGCCAGCTTAGGTTTTTGATCTTATTGTGGATCTGTATATTCATCTTGGATTGCAAGCAGCTGTTTTTAGACCAATTCAGGTGGAGCACAAAGGATTTTTTTTCTGTTTGTTTTCACAACTAAGATAACTGTTTTACCTGCCAAAGGCTTTGAAATTCTGTCCATCCAGTCCTGATATTTAGGCAGAGGTGCATTACCTAAATACATTGTGTTGGAAGTATTCCTCTTTCTTATCTCAGAAGGATACAAGGTATGATTACATTTAATGATGTATTATTGAATTGGTATACAGTATTTTATATCTGCTTGGAGTTCAGCTTTAAATTATTTACATTAGTAATGTTTATAGACCAATGTTGCAGTTTGGTATTGTGTGGCAATCTCACAGTAGAACTGGGTGTTGTAGTCACCCAGGCCTCTCAGCCAGAGGGGCTGAGCGGTTCCAGGAAGCAAGTTCTTGTACTGGCAAAGAACTGACTTTGCAGTTCTTCCCAGGTTTTCTGGATTTGACATGGGATCCTGGAATCCTGGAGATTTCTAAGAGAAGTGGGAGGGATGAAATCTCCATTCCTGGGTCCATCGCTTAGTAATGGCCAGCGCCTAATGATTGCACACCTGTGCACAGCCCTTATGGAAAGGGTGCTGGCTAATGTTCTGAGCTCCAGCTAGGAATGAGGAACAGATGTGTTCATGAGTCAGGAGGAATCCACCCAGAAGTCAGAGGGGAGCCAGGTGGCTGTGTATGTGTTGTGTTGGAGGCACATGGGAGACCACCAAGGAGACTTGCAGAGCCATAGACACACGAGTTAGGTGTGCAAGAGTCACACAGGAGGTGTGAAAGCTATTGAGAGATACTAACCAGTATTGAGCACAGCTGTGGCTCCATTAAGAAAAACCCTAATGTCCGGGTCTGGGACCCATGGAGTATGTGTGACAACCTGGAGTTGGTGAGATTATGTAATACGTTCTGTTTGCTGAAATACAGGCGGACCTTGTGTTATTACTGAAGAAAGCTTTTTTTCTGTTCTGAAAGCAATACAAGACTTTTCTGTTTTTATGTTAAAGTGGCTTTGAGACTGGTCTTTGAGCGCTCACCATTTGTGCTAACTTCCCCAAACATCACACTATAAAAATCTTTTTATTACTTTGCATATTACTTTTTTATAATATATTTGAATAAATAACATGCATATGTAAAAAAATACAATAATGTGTAAAAAATTCAGTTTTATAGTTTGTACCATTACTTTTATTTAAACTACAATATTTTCTCATTATTATATTTTCATGTGAATTATGGTTCCACAAATTGATATAACGTTAAGTATAAACGCCAATTGTAAATAAAATACATTTTAGATTTCAAAGTCGTATTCTTTTTTTCATATAATGCTCTAAATTGCAATGGCTCTAGCTCTTGGGAAAAAAAAATGTCCAAATAAAATACTTTTATCTAAAAAAAAAAGACATCCCAGGCATTTTATATACTTACAACTTCTTCTCAGTTTACTTTAAAGAAAACATTTACACAGTGATGCTGGAAAGGCAGAATAGTATCTTCCCAGTAAAAACCAGGAACACCGTCTTTCCTTATTAGTATTAAAGCCCAGACTATTTTTTGGTTTAGAATGGAGAGAAAAGGATAAAACCTCTGACAGGTTTTTATTTGGCGTTTGTGTTCCTGTTGGGCAGATTTCTGTCTCTGTTTCCCTATAAATACACATTATGCAGGCATGGTCCACTGTTTCCACCATCAGAAAACTCACTTTGAGAAATGCCACGCTGCTATTGATGGAGTATGATGATGACATTTTATGATAGATTATGATGACATTTAGGGTTTGACAGTTTCTTCTTTCTTTTTCTGCAGAGACTATCCGTAGCGCAACCCCATTTCCTATGGTCAGCCTTTTTCTTGTGTTTACGGCCTTTGTCATAAGCAACATTGGGCATATCCGACCACAGAGGACCATACTAGCTTTTGTTTCTGGCATTTTCTTCATACTGTCTGGTGAGTTTATTAACTAAACCTGTCACTTGACCCAAATAACAGTTTCTCTTTATAGCCCACCTCCTCTGCTGCAAATAATTATTTTCCCCACACTCCCCAGAAGCTATATGTGACACCCGGAACCCTTGGAAATACCAGGTATGGTGAAACTTGTGACCTTCTCCCATCACATACTATGCAGTGAAAGACGTATTGGTGGCAAGTCACCATGCCTAAGCACTGTTACTGAGCTGAGTACTGATTGGGATTGATGGAAAGCCCACTATTATTCAGAAATTATTGAATTTCTGCACAGAACAAAAATGAGCTTATACAGGACTTCCTAATCGGGGCTGTGTCAGGCGAATAGGGCAAAGTAGATAACTATTGGTAGCAGAGAACCTGAATGGGAAAAGTGATATGTCCATATCGACAAGCATTCCTTAAAAAACTATCTGTTGTCTTTTTAAATGTCCGCCAACCAAACAGTGATATTTCAGTCATAGGTGCATACTGCTGGACTCCTCTTAGTTTCTAAGAGTCAATTAGATGATCTGCCATAATTCCTGATCTATAATCCCTAACCTTGGAGTTTTGGGTTTTTCTAATGTAAAAATAAAATCATAGACAGTGCACCCCATTAAAATGCCTATGTTACATAATCCAAAGTACAGGGTGCTATGCTCTGGGAGCATGGCTATAAAGCCCTGCACATACCGTCTTTTCTTAGTCTTTTGGGTTGAGTGAAGCAGGCATCATTCGACCTGGAAGACTGAGGACATTTTGTGGCTGAAAAAAGTTACTGAGGGGGACAGCTTCTATATGAAGTCACATATTGCAGCCAGAATTGTTTTTTTTTAACTTTTATAAACACCATTTAAAAGCAAAAATATTACATTGGGATTGAAACTTATTAGCAAACACTTACATTGTTTCATTCAGAAGTAGCCTTTGTATAAAATGTACCCGTGTACTTCCTCCTGTGCCTTTTTATATTGAGGATTCTGGTACACATGTTGTGATTCTGACAGCCAGCTGCAGCAAATTCATGCCAGTGGATATAAACAGCAATAAAATACCATTTAAGCAGAGGCTTTCATCATCATCTTCCACATAGTCTAAATTAAGGTGACACTAAACTGATAAGTTAAATCTTAAAAATGCATTTAAAGGAGAACTATGAGGTGAGTGCTTTTCACTCACCTCATAGTTCTAGCCGACCTGTGACATGAGACTGTCACAGGTCGGCTCAGTAGATCGGGAGGTGATCGAACACAAACCGGCGTTCGCTCACCTCTCGATCCTGTCACGGCTATCTGCCGTGACAGGGGAGGGGCTGGATTCCCCCCTCCCCGCTTCGATCCGCCAGCGCTGACTGGCGGAGGGGGCGGGGAGGGGGCGGGTACAGGTGGCTCTGCCTTTAGATAGGCAGAGCCAGCTGTCAGTCACGCAGCTGGGCGGATCCCGGCACAATTGTCAGGATCCGCTTCAGCTGCGGCGTCTCAGTATACCGCGAGCTGATATACACATAAGCTACATTTTTGTTAAAAGATAAGGTAATTGAAAGCATTTTTAAGATTTAACTCCTGAGTGTCACTTTAATCATTTTGTATAGAGTTTTTCTTTACCAAAAGCCTAATCCTTATTGAAATATTTGAGAGTTTGGGGAAGTGGTGTCAGGCGGGTGCATAGGTGCAGCTGCACGAGAGAGGAGGGGACCCAATGGCATACCTTATCCTGCTGAATGAATGTCCCCTCTTCTCTTTGCCAGTGTCCATCACCAAGATGGCCACCAGCAGTGAAGTGCACAGGACGTCATTACGTACATGCATAATTACATCACGTGTATACATAGTTACGTGCGCACCAGGTGACACCTGGCAGCTGCACTGTGTGACACTCCTGCTTTGGGGTGCAGCTTCCAGTGAATACCGAAAAAAACATTTTCATTAGGCACCCTAGCAGGGAACAATTTATACTTCCTGCCCCACTAGGCTAACTGACCTAGTCAACTGGCTAACTTCAGCACCACAATAACCAAAATCTAATGGCATAGCCACACAAGGCACACAGTGTGTGCAGGAAGAGTGGCTAGAAGAGGAAGCTTTTTAACTGTGCATCAGTACACTATAGAACCAGTGACTAGAAGAGCTGTTGTCCTACTCTGCCAGTAATTCAGTTCTAGGTTTATGGACCCAGAGTGGGGGAACTGTAATTACATAATTCACTATTGAACCAACAAAGAGTGTATACATATTAGAGAAAAACACAGCACTCTTTGCTTTAATGTGTATTGTGCAATGGAGCCTTGTGTTTATTGTTTAGAAATGGTCAATATTGTGGTTACAGTTATAGTTGTCCATGAATGAAGCATAACCAAATCTTATCTTTTAATCTGTGTTGTGATTATCTTACAGGCCTTTCCCTAATTGTAGGTTTGGTTTTATATATCTCAAGTATTAATGACGAAGTCATGAACCGGCCCAGCAGCTCTGAACAATACTTCCAATACCGGTATGGCTGGTCTTTTGCGTTTGCAGCCTCATCTTTTCTCCTAAAAGAGGTTTGTGAACGTTCCTTCTTTAAACTTTACAAAAGCATGCTTTTTAATATAGTCTGCACTTTTTGGGCACAGTAGAGCACTGATAGAAAATACTATTTCATACCTCCTAACAGTCCTAAATTTGGTGGGACTGTGACACAATTTGAGGGAAATCCCAAGATCCCATGGACCCCAGGATAATCCTGCTATAGCTGATTTACATCCTGCTGTAATAGGAACGTGGGACCCTGGCTCCCATGTTCTACCCCCTACTTGAAATGCACCTTCCAGTTGGTCTGTCTCTTACTGGGGAGAGTGCATGACAGAACTCTTTTCTGACCACTGACACTGGGGCATTTTTCATTCCAATGACCACTGATGGGGCATTTTTTCCTCTTACTGACCACTAACACCAGATCATTTTTTTTCCCACAGACCACTGTAATGGGGGCATGTTTCCCTACCACTGATTCCGGAATTTTTTTTTTACCACTAACACTGGGTCATTGTTTCTCCCATTGACACCAGGGCATTTCCGTCTGCTGACCAGCAATAAAAGGGGTACTATGTACCCTGAATGTTGTACTCTATACATCCGCATATATGTGTAGATCAATTTGTAGTTTCAACAGTTGCTGGTTGCCGTGTAGTTTCTATCTGTTTAAATTAAGTTGTTCCTTAAGGTAGGCCCAGAAAAAAGTGTTATGCCTTTGGGAGCCCTGCAATCTAAATATCTGAAGTTCATGTAATTCTGTGTTGCCTTTCCTTCTTCACCACTACAAGAAAAAAGCTGGATTTAACATAAATTACCCAGACATAAATTGGGCAAATGGAACCTCAAGTTCAACAAAGGCGGGCCACTTTCTGAACATGTTGCGTGACAATTTCATGGACCAGATGGTGGAGGTCCCAACTAGGGAAAATGCCATCCTAGATTTAATCATTACTAATAAAGCAGAGTTAATTGAGGATATTGTTATTGGGGAGACACTGGGAAATAGTGATCACAATGTGATTACTTTCTATACTGGATACAGGAAAGGGAAGCAGGCCGGTAGGACAAGAACCCTTAATTTCAGAAGGGCTAACTTTGATAAACTGCGCCACCTAGTGGGGTACATAAAATGGGAAAATTTATTTCACCAACTGAACTCGGATTCTTAAGAATGAGAACACTCATGGACCTATACATACACACACACACACACACACCAGGTTGGACTTGATGGACTTATGTCTTTATTCAACCTCAAATACTATGTAACATGTTTTACAGAAAGAAGTACTTAACATTAGCTGAACACCTGGAAAAGAGGGTCATGACACTCTGGGATCACACTAATAATAGAATTTAGATGCACAGCCTGTCATCGGATTTCCACTAGAAGACAATATCTAGTAAATCCCTATGTATATCTCAGTGCAGTGCATCAAACCATTTCCCATTGAATGCAGAGTAACAGCAGCATAAGAACCCCTGGGACAAGGAGCAGTTTAAATACACATGAAAACTTGCCATTTAAATAGATTTTAACCTTTCACCTCAGCATAGGCCTTGGCATCAATTGGCTGTGCTATTCATATTCCTGGGACTGTTGAAAACCGGATATTCTAGAACTCTCTGTTTCAAGGTCTGCATAATTGCAGAGAGCTAATTTCACAAGATTCTTCTCTGAAATCATGGGGAAGGTATATATGTTATACAGGGCCTCAGAATTATACATTCACTAGGGCATGCCCCAGTAAAATATTATTCACTTCCCTCATTCATCCTCACAGCAGATGAACCATTGTATGCACTATACAGTTATGCTGAATAATTAGTAGTAAGCTGTGGTTCCCCTCATAGGCAGTGTGAAAGCCATGCTCAAACTAGCTGCTGAGAATCATGGGGAAATTATAAAGTGAAAAGCAAATGTGGGCCTTGCCTAGTAGGGTTACTTTAAAGCCCTCCCCATAAGCGCATATTCCTTCATTCCCCCATGGCTCCATTCAGCTGCTGGGAAAAGGAAATGGAAGCCCTATGTACACTTTCAGTCACTGTATTTGGAGTTTACACTGAGCCCGATGTAAAGGTGCTTGGTCAATTACTAAGCAATAGCAGTTTTACATGATGGGAAGGAAATAAGTGACAATATCCTTCCTGATGGAAAGTACAGTTTATCTTCACTCCCGGCAGCGGAAAGGAGCAGTAGGGCATTAAGGAAGAGGTGGAAATGTAATGCTGGGGAAAGGGCATAAAGCAAACCTGTTGCGTTGCTCCACACAGGTAAAACACGGGATGAAGATGTAGAAAGTAGATGTTAGGATTTTGGTACACACATTTCAAGATATTACGAAGAGTTTATGCTTCTAAATTAACTGAGTGACTTTACCTATTGTATACTTTAACAATAAACTACAGTGTAATAATGTAGAGTAAAAATGTTTTAATCAGATACTGATTTTAATAAGTGTAACTTTGGCTGACGGGTGAAAGCTGAACTGTGATAGCTTTCTTATGGGCTTGCTCTACATGTGCTCTTAACAATCTCTGTCCAAGGATTAACAAATTTGGGTAGAAATAAGTTTTAAATTTCTTTTTATCTAATTTTTTAATTAACTTCTAATAAAGAACATCAATTATCAATATAAATATTATCAATATTGTTGTACTTATTTTATGATTACTATAATTTTTTTCATCAACTTTTATTTACAGGGTGCTGGTGTCATGTCCGTATACTTATTCACAAAGCGCTATGCTGAGGAGGAGATGTATCGTCCTCATCCAGCTTTCTACCGCCCCCGACTCAGCGACTGCTCAGACTACTCAGGCCAGTTTCTCCACCCCGAGGTGTGGCACCGTGGCCGAAGCCCATCTGACATTTCCAGCGATGTCTCAATCCAGATGACCCAGAACTATCCACCAGCCATCAAGTACCCAGACCACATACACATATCAACATCCCCCTGCTAAAAGCAGAATCAGTGGTAAACTTTTTGGAAGACCTAAGCATCTTCATAGGATAAAGTTCTCTACAAAGATTACACAATTTGACCTGTACAACTAGAGACAGAGTACTGTGGAGCTATAACTATGAACCTTTACTTCCAAATGTCTGGAAATTTCCAGCCCCAGTACCTGGAATTCAGATTTTTTTTTTAACTCTGATCTCTGTTTAGTTTTATTATTTTACCTTACTATTATTACATTGGCAATTACTTCTAGACTACTTTAATTATATAATTTAGCCATATCTTGTTTTGATCCTCATTTAGCTTATATTATATTTTTTTCAGAAACTAGATTTCTGTTACCATCTTTATTCATTTCTTCTATAAAGAATCTTAATACCTTGATTAAGATTTATACTCACTCTTGAATTTCTTTTAGCATTGTGAAAAATCCTTTCTTAACTCTTCAGTGAAAAACTTGGACAATGGACAAAGAACACGAACAAAACCTTTTTCTTCCACTGTAAGCTTTATCTTAATGTAATACTCACCAAACTCTAAAAGAAGAAAAATGCTAGCGATAAAATCTCTCCAGCAAGACTGAAAAAATGAAGAACAAAAGAAATGTTGTCATAAAAAAAAATTAATTGCAAAAGGAGAAATATTTTACTGGTTTCAGGAAGACACATTGGTGTCCAAAAACTGAAAAAAATAAGACTTATGTGCTTACATTATCTATTGTGTCATCCTCTTCGCAGGTTGACACTTTTTGGGATGTGATCCAAAGTCCGACATATATAATTTTTTGTGTTCACTGTGCAGTCTGAACTTAGAGACAGTTGTCCCCCATGAATGATGCTTTTCACCTAAGTCTTATTTTTATGGGAAGAACAAAAAGCCATGGAGTAGCAGAGTGTAATTCATTTTTTTATTTTTATTATTATACAAGATGCACATTTCATTATATTTTATAATGAAATTGGTATCCTAATGTGATCTCTTAAAATAGAGGTATTTTAGGATGCGCCAAACATGCTGTCTGTAGGCATAGTTATCTGATTTAAGTTAGATGTTCAGTTCAGTAGTTTAATTATCAGTCTAGAACATCTTGTTTTCATTTTCTTTTTTTGTTTGTTGCCAGTGTATACAAAATACTTTTAATTAGGAGACTAACCTCTAACATTGTCCTTGCTTGTCTAGTGCAGGGAAAAGTATTTAGTGCATATCATTTTGTTTCATCATTCTGCACAGTTTGTTGGTATTCTGAGGGTTCATTACTATTCTACTGTTTATTCCCTGTATATACGTGCACTGGCCATTGATGTGCCTGTGCCCTTAGTGACATCATGCAGAACTCTTGTCACACATACTGGGCTACAACCCCAAACATGTGTATACTAAGGATTGTGACACTGCAGAAGGATTGACAGGAAATATAGACATTTACAAACAGAAAATTAATGAAAAAAATTTAACTTTAAGATATAGTCAGCCATGTGACAATTTGACAGTGTAAAGTGTACACATAATCACAACAGAGCACTGAAACATTGAATGGATGGAGCAGACATTGTTTATGGATCGCGCTATTGTTCATTTGACATGATCACTAGATATGTGTCCTGAAATAAACAATATAGTACGCCCAACCTAAGGGGTACTAAGTGGGTTACAAAGGTTACCAATTTAAAACAACTACAGCATGAAAAAAATGAATAACTCAATTAAAGGTCCAGTCACAAAAAAATATATATGGGATAAAGAAAGTAATATAATCAAAAACTTCAAAATCAAATCCGGGTCTATAAAAACATCTAAAATAGAGAATCACAACCATGACACTTATCAGTTGATTCATAATCAGCATCTAGGCTCAATGCAGTCCCCCATAAAACATGTTCTAATTGTTTAATTACAAATGTATACTGCTTGCATTATACCAATCACATCTACCCTGTTTCCCCAAAAATAAGACCTACCCCGAAATTAAGACCTAGTACCATTTTTGGGAATTGCTAAAATATAAGACCTACCCCGAAAATAAGACCTAGTTGTGACCATTCCCAGGGCCGGTGATGGCATAAAGGGGAACTTGAAGAGCCGCGGGAGAGAATCAGCGGTGTCAACTAAGCCAGCGCTAGAGGAAGCGAGGCAGCAGCGCAGGGAGTAGAGCCACATAAGCCGATGTTTCCTCTATAGCGCCGGCTCCTGTCACAGGCGGAGTGATACCAAATGCACTCTGCCTGTGAGGAATCTATAGTGAAAGCGCGCTTCGCTCATTCTGGTTACCAAATTGCTCTTGGAAAGGTATGACACCCCTGATTACCCTATTCTTAACTTTGCCATTTTGGATTATTTAATTTGGATTTGCATTAACTTTAGATTGTTGTACATTAAAAAAAATAAGACCTACCCCGAAAATAAGACCTAGTGTGTTTTTTTGAGCCAAAAACAATATAAGACAGTGTCTTATTTTCGGGGAAACACTGTATATAACATGGTCAGTTACTCTAGGCCAATAAATGAGTATAACTATAACTAACGAGCATCAGTATATCTATCAATACATGTTGAAGAACAAGCAGAGAAGAACTAGAGACAGTAGTGTTATAAAATGTATTTGTTCACCAAGCTGCAAATATCAAAAGACACTAAAGTGACATTGAGTTAGACATAAACATTAAAAAGTCAAAGAGTAAATGAACAAGGCATTAAGAAGGAAAAAATATAGATGCAGAAGGATGGAGGAAACAATATCACCCAGACTGGTAGCTGGGATAAAACACCAGAGGCCCTAAGAAGAGATGGCCAGTTAGCACCACAATCTGTAGTCTGAGGAAAATTAGGGATGCTTCTGCATCCTGCATGAATTGTGAGAAGACGTTCTGTAAAGAGAGCCGAATAGTAGAAAGTTAAATATTTCTATGAAGACAGCTAGAGCTTAAATTTTCAGTCTGTTACGTTAGCTGATACATGGAAATTCCTTTACTTAAATCTTTAAATCTGAATCCCTGAAACAGCACATCCTGGTGGATGACACCACCTTCTCTGTTACAATTGTATATTGTAAAAGGAATGTAGTGATACCCTCTTTCTACCTACAGCCTGCTGAATGGACAGTAAAAAAAAAAAAAGGTGACTAATGAGGTTATCCTTCTGCTCTCTCCTTTTTATTATGTTCTTTGCCAGCACATTTGCATGCAGCACACCTGATTGGCTCCCAGTCCTGGCCTTCTTTCTCCTAGTTTCTCCTAGTGAATGTTGCTGTACAGGGGGATTTCAAGAGGCTGATACCAAGTCATATAACACTACTTGCAGCTAAAAAAAATACATTTAAGGATTTATTAATAAATACTGAGCTGCATTGTGTGGATTTCATATATGCCTGGTGTTCAGCTTTAATCAGCGCTAACAAAGTAATTTATGCTTTTAATGATGCATTTATACCGTAAAATACAACAGAGACATAAGAGGTTACAATAAATAAGTTGCAACCAAAGCAACTTTCATGGGGACATTGTTCAAGTCATATAAGTGGAAAAAGGCTGCTACAGTGGACATAAAACACCTTAAAAACACAGCAAAGAGACTTATAAAGAAGTCAGCTTGTCAAGCTGCATATACTTCCCATGTTGCACTATCCATACTAACACATTCTAAAGTGTTGGTTTAATGTATAGAAAAATAATGTATAGACTAATGTATTTCATTTTACTGCTGTGGTTTTCACAGGGACTCGGGAAGGCCTGGCTTGCATTTTGTCCATCGTATATACCTTTCATCCATGGAAGACATTTTGTTTCTGCAGTGAGCAGACTATAATGGTGTCTAATGAGCACTGAAATGTACATAGATAGTTGATATGTATCAATGCAATGTAAGAAATGTAACCTGACCTATAGAGATGAAATAATGACCTGTCTGGAAGTCTTTACCAGATATAGATAATGTATGAATTTATATATATATATATATATTACTATGGGAGTATAAGACCTCAAGCATTGTAGTTGCATAATGCACATATATAGTCAAAACATAGAGTAGAGAAAGGTTAGAACATCTGCTAGGCTATTTAAGGCCTGTCTTCCTATTGGGGAGATTTCCTTTTATATCTTGGGATTATTTTAATGGGGGTGCAGGCAGCAATAAGAAACTGACAGAAATTCTAATCCTTCCCTACTGTACTGGAAATGCTAGATCTGCTTTCTGTATGCCTGTCAGTGATTCTCTTTGCTTTCTGTCCTGGTGACCAAACAGGCAGTTCTGTCACCAGAGTGGTCACAGAAAGCAAGAAAACCTGGCAGAGGTTTCCTCATCCTATTCATACAACATGTTTGCCTATAGTTGGGCTTTAAAGGACCCAAAAAATCTAAAGCACAAGTTGGCTTATATAAAACAGCTGTAAATGTGATTTGCAGAGATACCTTTATGAAACAGTTTGAAAATCTTATCCAAATAAGATCTATTATCATGGGTTTATTTTGCTATACACAACCGTTTTCATGCTGCATATGTATGAGTGACATTGTTTTCATTTCTCCTAAATTTCAGCAAAAATATGACCTTTCCTGTAAATTGCACAATTTTGGCTTACTTAATTGAAATCAATGGGGAAAGAGAAATTAAGATGGTTGGAAGCTGCCTTCAATGCTGGACTTGTTCTTGTGTAAAATAATGGTACCCATCTAGCTTCAATATTTTTTAAAAAATTCACAGAACGAAAAAACCATGTAGTGGTCAAAAAATAAATTTAAAGTGACAGTACACAAATATTGATCAAATACAAAATTGCAGAGCCAATCATCCTGTTAAACCACATACCGTACATTTGTTCTGTCCAGTTGGCGTTACTAGTATAATTTATTCTCACGTTGAATGTAGTTATTAGGAAAGTACTGCATTATGACCACCAGATGGAGCTTAGGAGCATAGGAAAGAAGTATTTATATTTTTGTTTATGCTCCTCGGCTCCATTTAGTGGCCATAATGCTTATTGTTCTGATATTACATTTCACACAGAAAATATACTAACGGCATATGTTTTTGCTCCTTCTCACACAGAATGAATGTAAATATAGTTTCACAGGATGAATGGCTCTGCAAATATTTTATTCATACATCCCTAAGTAAAAAAACAAAAACTGCTCTAAATACCCCCCCCCCCTCCCCTTTCCGAAAACAGCTCCTTAGTGTTAAACCTCAGCATTACTCAGCTTCAGAATTCTATGTAAAAAAGGTTAACCCAAGTATCACTTAAACTAGCCCCGTTAGCATGGTACCCCAAGCCCG